GTTGTGACCGTGAGTGCGTTGTGCACGGGCTGTGGTGGTGCAGCAGTGAGCCCGGACGTGCCCCTTGACCCTGCCTTCTTGTGGGGTTTTGGGTGGGGGCAGAGGGGAGCCATGGATGTCTTTTCCTCGGGTCTTACAGGGCCTCGTGCTGCTGGGGTGCCCAGACGAGACCCTCGGTACTGGCTTTGGCTCCTGCTGCCCTGAATGCAGGGGGATACTTGCATGGCTGTCTGATCTGTGCGTGCCCTGGGGAAGAGGCTGGTGGGTCTAAACAGCCCCAGGACCCTGTGCCCCACCCTTCCAGCCTCAGGATGCTGTGCCCTCACTGTCCTGGCACTCCAGGGGCAGCCTGGCCACAGGGCAGGCAGGCTGAATCCCTGGGATGCCAACCAGAGCCTCACCTGCTCTCTCGTTGCTTTGCAGAACAGGGAACCCCCATCCTCCTGCCCGGCCTTCAAAGAGGGTGAGTTGCTTCTACCTCGAGCAGCAAAAGTGCTCAGGAGTCCTGAGCCACCACCTCAGCTCTGACCCCGAATGCAGGGTGGCCAGGGGTCCCAGCCAGGGAGGGAACGCCTGGTGCTACACCCACACAGGGTGGGAACATGGCTGCAGACTCCAGGTTGCCCATTTGATCCCAGCTTGCCTTTCACTGAGCAAATGGGAGTGCTTCAGGGATCGGGGCAAGGGATGCCTGGCTTGGGAAGGGAGAAAGAGGGATGCCAGGGTGGGCCTGAGGGAAGGGGGAAGCAGCCCTGGGGTCAGAATTGGTCCCCCGGTGATGCCAGGAGCCCACCTCCCACGTGCTGAGCTGCTTTGTCATGTGTAGAAATGCAGCTAATGGGCAGTAGGAGTTGGTACCTCCAGCTTTCAGAGGTGGAGGGACCAGCCCCTGCTTAGTCTCCCGATGCCTCAGTTCCAGGCCCTTGTGACCCGGAAGATCTACTGGATGGTGTGATTTTCGGGGCAAAGTACCTGGGTTCCACGCAGCTGGTTTCAGAGAGGAACCCCCCGACCAGTGTCCGCATGGCGCAGGCCCAGGAGGCGGTGGACAGGATCAAGGTGCAGGAGGGTAGGGGGGCATGAGTGCCAACAGCCTGGCCCCTCGTGGGCCTGGGGCAGCGCTCAGGACCTGCCTGGGGTGGGTCTGGACCCTCTCGGCTGTGGGTCATGGACCCCGAGGAATCCTGGCAGCAGCAGTGACGTCTCCTGGGTGCTTCGTTCCGCAGGCACCGGAGGGGGAGTCCCAGCCCATGACGGAGGTGGATCTGTTTGTCTCCACGCAGAGGATCAAGGTGCTCACGGCTGACACGCAGGTGAGCAGGCAAAGGGGGCACCTGCCCAGCTTTGGGGCTGCTGAAGCCTTCCCGTTGGGCCTTGGGATCTCTGCTTTGTACCCACGCCACTGGGGTGGTGCCCAAGGACGGCCTACGGGTGAGGATACGCGTCTGGGAGGAGACCTGCCGCTCTGCAGCCGTCCCACGCAGACGTGTCGTGTCCCTTGGCTGGCTGCGTGGCTGCACGAGGCTCCTCGTGGAGCCATCTCCATCACAGGAGATGCTGGGCTCCCAGACCAAGCTCCAGGGAACCTAGGCTTGGAATTTCTGTAGCTCTTTGCCTCAGGATTAGTTTCTGCCTTGTAGTAAGAGGGAAGGGCTGTCTTGACCCCAGCAGCACCCAGAGACACGGATGAGTCCTTGATCAAAGGAGCTGTTTGTACCTTTTGGTGTAGACGTGGTTTCTGCCCAGTGTGTGCCAGGCATTTGAGGTGCATCCTGGCACAGTGGTGTTGGAACCCAAACCCGTCCTGCCTGTGGAGGTGCCTGGCTGGCTCACAGGGCTGCCCACGGTATCCATCAGGCTGGGGAGGGCTGAATGTCTCTGCCCATGTCCCTCTTGCCAGGAGGCCATGATGGATCATTCCCTCCAGACCATCTCCTACATCGCAGACATCGGCTCCCTCGTGGTGCTCATGGCACGCCGGAAGCTGCCTCGGCGCTCACCGTCCTGCCTGTGGAGGTGCCTGGCTGGCTCACAGGGCTGCCCACGGTATCCATCAGGCTGGGGAGGGCTGAATGTCTCTGCCCATGTCCCTCTTGCCAGGAGGCCATGATGGATCATTCCCTCCAGACCATCTCCTACATCGCAGACATCGGCTCCCTCGTGGTGCTCATGGCACGCCGGAAGCTGCCTCGGCGCTCAGAGGGCGGGTCCCTCGGGAGGGCGTTGGGGTCCTGGGCCCTGTCCCGCTGTAACGACTGGGTGCTCTGGGCTCCCAACGAGCACGGAGAGGGGGAAGGAGCCCAGCCTGAGCACCTCTGCTGCATAGAGGGACCCAGCGAGAAAAGGGGGGAAGAATTGGCACCATAAAGGGGCCCATTCAGGCAGGGAAGGAGCCAGGATGCCCTGGAGCTCCCAGGGCACAGTGCCTGTGCTGGGCATTGCAGGGCAGTAGCAGCTTTTGGCTCCAGTTTGGCCACGGATCCGTGGGCACAAGCAGCCCCTCTCTTTCCCCAGGCCCAGGTCATCGCTCAGGCCATCGGGCAGGCGTTTGGCGTGGCCTACCAGCGCTTTCTGGAGGCCAACAGCATCGACCCAAGCGAGCTGAGCCCTCGCCAGTACAGCCGTGCCCTCGAGGACCAGGAGCAATACAACGCGGAGCTGACTCACTTCTCCCGGCAGGAGAACTGCAAGGACGTAAGAGCTGCTTTGGAGGGGTGGGGGCAGTGTGGGGTACCTGCTGGCACCTCTATGTCATCCCCTCCACGGCTCCCTGAGCAGCTGAGGTGCTCTCTGCAAAACTGGGCCCCATCCCAGTCATGCCCAGTGACTCCGGTGACCGTAACCCCTCTGTTCCCCCCTGCCCAGGTCTGCATCCGGAAGCAGAAGGGGGAGATCCTGGGCATCGCCATCGTGGAGTCGGGCTGGGGCTCCATCCTGCCCACGGTGGTCATCGCCAACCTGATGCACGGGGGCCCAGCGGAGAGGTCGGGCAAGCTGAGCATCGGGGACCGCCTCATGTCCGTCAACGGGACGAGCCTGGTGGGGCTGCCCCTCACCACCTGCCAGAGCATCATCCGGGTGAGCCAGGGCTGTGCCCGGGGTGTCTACCTTCTACCTCCCGGGCAGGAAGGAGTGGAAAGCAAGGACATTGTGGCCTTAGGGGCAGAGTGGGATGTCTTGGGCAGGATTTATAAGTTCTTCTCCCAGAATTTGAGCATGACAGTATCCCTATGTGTGCCTCAGTTTCCCTATTGAAAACAGGTTGCTAATCCTCAGCCCTCCCGTGGGCAACATGGCTGCATCACCCCTCTCAACTGTGCTGCATCGCTCTCCAATGTCTTGACAAAGCCCCATCCCATCTTCCAGGAGCTGAAGCAGCAGACGGAGGTGACGCTGAACGTTGTGCACTGTTCCCCTGTCACCACGGCTGTCATCCGGCGCCCCGACTCCAAGTACCAGCTGGGCTTCTGTGTTGAGAACGGTGTGGTGAGTGCTTGCAGGGATGGCAGCAGAGCCAGGCTGGGGGCTTCGGCCACCTGTCTGCCATGCGGACACATGGCCGTGGCTGTGCCCGCACGGACGAGCGCACAGCTCCAGTGCTCCTTGTGCCTGCTGAGGTTTCTCAGGGCTCTGCTGTGCCACGGCAAAAGGCTCCTTGTAGCTCTCCTGCAGCACCGGCGCTTGGATCCGTCTCCCTGGTGCTCCTTAGCTGGTTGCTTTTGGAGTGGTGGTTTCTTCCTGGCTTTCCTGGTGTGACCTTAGTGACATTTGCTGCTGTCCCCAGTGCCTCAGGCACTCCCTGCTCTGGGCTCCACAGTGGTTGTGTTGGAAAGGCAGAGAGGAGCATTTCCAGGACCAGCGGGAGTTGATGGGTGAGGGGGTGGCACGGCTGCATTGCCCACCAACCAATGCACCCAACAGTATTGGAGATGTGGGTGCCCCACAAGTGCGCAGGAGCTGCCACCCCAGGGAGAAGCTCTGGCTCTGCAGCCCCGGCTTGATGGGAGCATGAGGGTCCGATGGGTGGGTGGGGGAAACCGAGCCCTCTGTCAGCAGGGGGAACGAAAGCACGCAGGCTGCCCGTGCCCTTCAGCTCGGCACGTTGCTACGGTGGCAGCAATGCGAAGGGACATGCATCCCTGCCCTCGCTGCACATCCGTGGGCTGGAGGAGACAGCACCAAGCTCTTGCCGAGAGCCTGCATGGATGAGAGCGTTTGGGGTGGTGGTCACACATGGCCCTGGGCTGTGGGCATGGCTCTGATCTTACCGGTGCTCCCTGCTCCCCAGATCTGCAGCCTGATGCGTGGGGGCATCGCAGAGAGAGGCGGGATCCGCGTGGGGCACCGCATCATCGAGATCAACGGGCAGAGCGTGGTGGCAACGCCGCATGAGAAGATCATCCAGATCCTCACGCAGGCAGTCAGCGAGGTGAGCGGGGCCTGGGCTGGGTGACGGCTGGGGCCCCGTGCTGCGGGGCAGCTGGGGGGCTGCGGCTGCACATGGAGCAGGCTGGGCGCGGGGTTTTACCCCAGCACCCTTCAGCCTGGGGTTTGGTGTCTCCCAGCTGATCTGGGTGTCTCTGCCTAGGTCCACATCAAGACCATGCCAGCCTCCACGTATCGCTTACTGACCGGGCAGGAGCAGCCCATCTTCCTCTGAGCCGCTGGCTGTCACAGCACGTGCCCGGGGCTGCGAGGGCAGGACAGGCTCTGCCTCTGCCCCAGCACCCTCATCGGAGCCCTCTGGTCCCCAGCAGGGCCGAATCCTGCACCTCTTTGGTTTTACTCAGGACACAGTGGGACACCCTGGGAGCCCGATATCCAGCCTGAGCAGTGTCAGGGCCTACGGTGCCACAGGTTGGGTACTTTCTCCCCCTCCATTCACCCCTCCCTGCCCACTCACCCCTTCCTGCCTCACAGTGCCTGCACGGTGTCTGTGCCACGGCTTCACAGGGTCCCTCACCTTGGCCCGGTGCGGGCAGGAGGAGAGGGGACCCCGTGTGAAAGGCCACCCCACCCAGTCACCACAAACAGTGCTTTTACACTCACCAACAGTGCCTTTCCCAATGTGGGCATGGTGCTGGAAGCACAACTCCGGGGCTCGCCCTAGCATGGCCCCAGAGCAACACTGGCCCTGCACACCAGTGTGTGGGTGCAAGCTGGCACCCTGAGGGAGAGCCAGCAGCTCCCAGACTCAAGCCTTAAGGGCAGCAGCACCCTTGGCACCCACTCCTCCTCCCTGGCTTTGCCAGGGGTGCAAAGGAACTCCCCTTTAGACCTGCTGCACCGAGCTGGGAAACTACCTCTGCTTTTCCCTGGTGCTGTCTTTACCCGCTCTGCACGCACAGCCCGGCCCCAGCCTGCCAGGGCACTGCGTCACAGCCCTCGGGGCTGTCCCTCGGTGCCCAGTCCCGCATTCCAGGGAGCCTGGGGTCAGGAGCCTCAAGGACCAGCCCCTGGTGATGTGTCTTTTCATAAGCGGGTCTCTGGGCCCCTCCGGCCGAGGCAGCGCTGACCTGACTTTGCCTGTGTGCTTAGTTGATGTAAAAATAAAAATTTTGGGGAACGTGGGAGGCTGCGTTTCAGGAGCCCCAGCTGGGCTGCAGCAGAGGAAGCTCAGCTCCGGGGGATGCACCCTGAGCCCGCTGCGGTGCCAAACGTTGGCACAACCCAAACCTGATCCCGTGCCGATGCCTCTTGGGGCACGTAGGGCGTCTGGCCACAGGGGTGCCTGGGTCCCAGCAAGGCCACCCTGCTGCAGGGGTTTCCCCTGCAAACTGCCACCCAGCAAGCACACAAACTGCCTGTCCTGATCAAAACATCCCTTTTATTCCAGCCGCAGGGACCATGGCCGGAAGGAGGCACTTGGTGATTCTGGCTTGTGAGGGGTACAGCAGGATCCGGCCCAACCCAGCCTGGCCCCAGGGTGCTGCGTGGCACTACCTGCATTGTCCCGAGGGGCTGCCCGGTGGGGAAGAGGCTGGCGGTGCCGCTACACCTCTGTAGCTGGGCCCCACTCGTAGCCTTCATCCTGGTCTGAGTCATCCCTGGCCTGCATGAACCTCTTCCTCACCGCGTCATGCTCGTATTCCCTGGGGGACAAGAAGCCACGGTGACAGGTCAGGACGGGTGGCAGAGACACGGAGTCAGGCCGGGCAGAGCTGGGTCCTCAGCCTGGCTGCTGTAACCCGCCGGCCAGCCCTGGCACACAGGGTACC